CTCACTTTAGAAGTGGAGAAATAGGCCCAGAGAAGGAAAGTAACTTGCTCAAGGTCACACAGCAAGTGAGATGCTGGGACAAGAAGCCAAGTCTCCGGCCCTTCTCTGTGTGATCTCCCTGAAAACTGGCGCTTCTGTACCACCAGGCTCTTGCCACACCAACTTCCACTGCTCTCTGCCCGCATTTCCACCATCAGCACCCTTCCCCACCCTCCTTCTCCACAGGGATCCAGGCCCGTCTCATCTACACAGGAGGACTGAGGACCATTAGAGTCAAGAACTCTGTCGCAGATGCTGTGCCTAATGCTAGCACACTCCAGAGACATAGCAGCCTAACTACAGCATCTCCCTGGACAAGCCCGTGCCCCCGCTCCATCCCATTTAAGGGACACCTATGTCGCGGAGGCATAAAGTTCTATCTTCCCAATTCTCTCTGTCAAGAGGCTAGACTGAAAATTACCCACCTCCCCAACCCCAGAGAAGTTCTGGGTGCCTGAGGAGAAAGGAAGGGAATGTGAAATTGCATGCTGAACAATGGTTCCTTTATAATACAAGAGACTCAAGGAAGACCTCAGAAAGGACTTCCAGGGGGAACAGATGATTGTGGAGAACTGGTGTAGGGGAGAGGAGTGTGCAAATAGGAGCCCCCCACCATCCAGAGCCAGAGCAGCTGATGGCCAAAGGCCACCAGGACAGCAAGGCGGGAGACCAGGAGCATCCTGGAGGCTGGGGAATGGGGGGGCAGGGGGTGGCTTCTTCCTGAGCCCAGGACTGTTCTCCAGGCTCCAAAGAGGGAGAGGAAGACAGTAGGACAGGCTGCTACAGAGCTTCCTCTGGGAGAGATGCTGGGTCTCCACCATCCCCCTGGCTGCTCCCACCCAGCCCCCAAATCTGAAATCCGACTCAGACCCAACCTGGGTCAGCTTGGGGCTGGGGTGGGGCGTGGGGGGCAGGAACAGAAGGAGGTGGCAAAGCTGGGGCAGGAGGCACCCCAGACTCCCCATCTCATCAGAATTCAGCCTCCCTCGGTGTGACCAGGGGTCCCTATGACTCCCCCACTCTCCTCTTTGGGGCCTTATGTAGCCCCCTCTACTGGGTTCCCTCCAGTGTCCTTCCAGGAGGGAAGGAGAGGTGGGGGGCATCAGGGTCTGATGCCTGCACCCTCACTCACACACCCTACGTGTTTAAGAAAGTGGGTCCCTGTCCACCTGCCACAGCCCGCAGAGCTCCTGGCCCTCCGCGGACAGTCCCCGCACCAGCCCGACATCACCTGCGGTGGGTACTTACCCGCGCCCACGCCCGCCGGCCAGCCCCCTCCCGCCCCCCGACCCACCCCGACCAACTCCGGCCGGTCCTACCTGCTCCGGGCGGGGGGCTCAGCGCCCGGGCAGCCTCCCTGAGCACCAGCACCAGGAGCCAGAGCTCTGCCCGCATGGTGGGTGCCAGGACCCGCCCCCGGCCCGCTGCGGGCCCCGGCGCGGGGGGGGGGGGGGGCCGGGCCCGGGCGGCGCGGTGCCCGGGGCAGGCGCGCCGAGGGGAGGGCGGCGAGGAGGCGGCGGAGCGCGGGGCCCGGCGGGGCGGCGGGAGAGGCGCGGGCGCCGGCGCGGGCGGGCGGCGAGCGAGCCGAGCGGCGGCCTCCCGGAGCGCGGACGGGGAGGGGGCGGGGCGGGGGGGGCGCGGCGCCTCCCGAGCGCTCCCCGAATCTTGCCGGGTCCTCCCAGCCCTCCCCGAGCGCTCCCACGGCGGGGTGGGGGGGGCGGGGGAGGGCGGGGGGCGGAGTAGGGGACAGGGCGGGGGACCCTGGGCTGGGAGAAGCGGCCCCCCAGCCCGCACCTTAGCTCCTGCCTCCCTTCCCCTCCTCCACCCCCCTGGGAAAGCCGCGGAGACAAGACCGGGGTGTGTGTGGGGGGGGTGCACACCCCAGGAAGGGACAGGCGTCCCGTCCCTCGGGCGGTGGACTCCTGCAATACGCACCCCTTCCCCAGCTCTACCAGGCTTCCCGACTTTCTGGGCTGTTCCTCAGAGTTCTGTGGGTTTCTGATGCCCATCCCCACCCCAGGAATCTCCCCTTGCAGCACAGACCCCCCAGCTTCTCTCGCCAACAGAGGCCCGAATTCCACTCCCCTCCCCAAGGCTCCTCTCCCTTTTTCCCGTCACCCCCAGTTCCCAGCACCGTCTTGCCCACCAGCCAGGCGGACACGGGGGTGGAGGGGCCCGGCTTACCCATACTTTAACCCGGACTTCCCCTCACCCCCAGAAGGTAACTGAGGCCACCCTTCTCTCTGGGGACCCCGGGCCTGTTCAGGGTCCCAATCAATCCTCAAAGCCAGCCCCCAGAGCAAGAAGAGGTCTCACCCCACCTGTCACCACCTTATGACAGACTCTGGGGATAGATCACCTTTTTTTTTCCTTTTCTTTTCTTTCAGGACAGAACAAAAATACCCGCAATTTAGGAGATTTAATAGACGGCGGGGAATCAGGTCAGGACACGAAGGTGCCTGTTCCCTCCCCTGACCTACTTCGTGCGTTGGCAAGGAGCTGGAGCATTGGAGGGTGGGAGAATGAGGGGTGAGGGGCACCTGGTTTCTCACGGGGCTGGGGCCTAGGGACTGGACAGTCGCGGACAGGTAGGGGATGGTCGCGGAGAGCCCTTCAGGGCATTCCGCAGGAAGAGGGATACGCGTGGGGACAGGAGTGTGGGCTGGAAGAGGGGGGTTCCCTGACACTGAGGCCAAAGACAGGAACTGAGAAGGGAAACAAAAACTAAAGACTCCCTAATCTCTCAGAATCCCAGTTCCTCCTTCCTCTGGATCCAGGGTCCCAGAAACGACCTCCTCCAGCCCTAAACCCTAAGCCTTTACAATGGGACAAGGCAAGGCCTGTCTGTAAGTTCTTCTTGTTGTCTAATTCAAATCCCGAGTTTGCCGACTCTCAAATAGGAAGAGGCCGCCGCCTCCAGCTGCGGCTTCTTGCTGCCCTCTAGCGGCCAAGTGGCGAGCCGCGGTCTGTCTTACAAGGTCTCTTTAAGGGCTCGGACTGAAAACAGAAGCTTGGAAATAATTCGAAGCAAGTGACGTGTAAATTTTTTTAAATGTAAGCCTCTAGAACTTGCGCGTACATCAGAATCACCTGGAGGGCTTATTAAAAATACAAATTTCTGGGCGCCACCCTCAGGTTCCTAACAATAGTTCTGGGAAGAAGCCGAGAATCTGCATTTCTAACACGTTCCCAGGTGGTGGTGCTAGTCCGGGGACCACATTTTAAGAGCCATTGCTTGAGATTTCCCGCTTCTTGCACTCTCTCGCGTCTTTCTTGCACCAATTGTCGTCTGCCCAGAAGGGAGCTGGCGAAGGCAATGTCAACGTAAAATGGGGAAGGGGGAAAAAATGACATAGGGAGACCAGGACCTTTGTGGCCAAGTGAAAACGACTAGCAAGGGGGCACCCGGATTTGAACCGAGGACCTCTTGATCTGCAGTCAAATGCTCTACCACTGAGCTATACCCCCTCTGCTGACGTTTGGGCGCAGTAACCTCTTAGTGCTATGAGTGCGCAGGCGCTGTGACGAGGTTGTGAAAAGAAGCGGGGTCCAATGTTCACAAAAGTTGAAAATAATATAATCTCAAAAGATTACTCGCCTGGACGCGGAACTTGTTTCCCGAAGCTCTGAGCTAAAGATTTCTACTGAATGGTGTAAGCAAAATGGAGTTTGGAAAAATCCCTCGAGATCCTTCGAGATCCCTGGTTTCGGGGACGTTCCCTGCGCCGAGGTCCCCCTCTCCTGCCCTGTCGGAGCCCCTTTATTGCCTCTTGGCGCCCCTCTCTCCGTCCTGCACGCCCAGGCAGGCATCTCTGGGCCTTCCTTCCCCAGCCCAAGCCCGGCCCTTAGATAGTCGGCCTCCCTCCGCGGAAAGAGCGGTCGGGTCGCTGGCCAGGCCCACCTGGGGGTGCGCCCGCCTCCGCCCTCGCGCTTCGGGAGTGCGCAGTCTGCGCTGTCCCCCCAGGGTTAACCAGCAATTTCTCGCCCTCGCACTGCATCCCACCCGTAAACGTCCGCGCGGGCTGAGCGCGTGGATCTGCGGGGTCAAGACTCCAAAGTCGCCTGCCTGCAAAAGGGGGTGGTAGCCCCCGAGACTGCAACCCCTCTTCCCTGCCAGGGCACTCTGAGAGGTGGACCGCAACCCCTCTCCACTGCTAGGGCACTCTGAGAGGTGGACCGCAGGACAAAGAAAACACGAAAAGTCTTGTCTGGAGAGGGGGCACCCGGATTTGAACCGGGGACCTCTTGATCTGCAGTCAAATGCTCTACCACTGAGCTATACCCCCGTCACGTCGCTTATTCCTTTATTAGAATGAATTTCTGTAGTGTAAGGGGAATATTAAATTATGTTTTTATCCGGGGGCTGTGTCGAAATGACCTCATGAAAAGAACAGGTTGTGGGCTGGGTGGGGATAGCTAGAATCCTGAGCTCTTTTTCCATCATCACACCTCAGGAAAACCACAGGATTAAGGAATCCTAGGCCTTCTATAACTGTGTCCAGGCGTCCCCAAGATGTCCACGGCCTGACTTGGGAAGGAGAGAAACCCATGGACTCCAGGACCATCTCAGGTCTTATGGGGTAACAGCAGGTCTCCGCATACAGGTGGACAGCCTGGGTTTCCATCCTTGTCTTCCGCTCTGCGTCCATAGAAATCCCCAAAGGCCCCTCCCGGCTCTTCCATGAGTCAGCATCAAACCACTCCCACCCCTAGACCCAGGTAGAGCCAAAAGCTCCCAGTCCTGGCAAGTCAGGAGTCAGTTATCTGGCAGAGGATGGTAGAGCCCAGGACCAAAGAACCAGCCAGTCCCCTAGCCAGATGGACTCTTGAGGCAGTACCCCCTTCATTTCCAAGGAGCATTTCCCCGGACCTGATAACCCTGTACAAAAACCAAAAGCCAGTTGGAAACACAGGTAGCAGGAGCAGGCAGAAATAAGAGGTGAGCAGTTTTCAATGGCATTTATTATACTTTTATAAAAATTCTAAAACAATGACAAAATCATGACAAAAGACAGTTGAGATAGGCACGCTGTAGGAACTGGAGACATGTGGGAGGAGTGGGATTCACACTGGAAGGACTGGAGGGCATAGGATGGGATGGCTTAACGCTCAGCTGTGGTCAGAGCCAGCATCCCAGAGGGAAATGAGAGGCATGGGAGGAGTGGAACTCCCCAAAGTGCAAGGCATGTCCCCCTCCGGGATGTCCCGTCCTTCTTCCTCTCCCTTCCCACCAGTTTTTTGTTTGTTTGTTTGTTTTAAGATTTTATTTATTTATTTATTTATTTGAGAGAGAGAGAGAGCACATGAGAGGGGGGAGGGTCAGAGGGAGAAGCAGACTCCCCCCGATGCGGGACTCGATCCTGGGACTCCAGGATCATGACCTGAGCCTAAGGCAGTCGCCCAACCAACTGAGCCACCCAGGCGCCCTTCCCACCAGTTTTTGGCTCTGTCCTCCTTCCCCTGAGCCTGCCCCTTCACCCTTCTGGAATCTCCTTTGCTCAAAGATGGCTAAGGGGCCAGAAAGCTGGGGCGGGAATCGATGGATAGGGGGTGGGGTTCTAGGAAATAAAGAGCAATTCCAGGGGGTCTCTTACTCCATCCCCCATTTTTTTTCCTCAAAGAGGTTGTGGGCTAAGGGGACGGAGCTCCACTTCCCAATCCCTCGACGTGTCCAACAGCTCGCCTGTGCCTCCAAAGACACCTGCTTCCCTGGAGTGAAGGGCAGCTCTTCTGCTGTCCTGTCTGCAGGAGGTCAGGGTGGGCAGTCTAGCCCCTTGGTGGCGGGGTTGGGTTGGGTGGACTGTGGCGATCTCACTGTCCAGAGCTGACCCAGCTCCCATCAGAGAATCGTAGAAAAGTAATCGTCACTTGGACTTTCCACCCATGTAGTCCAAGCAAAACCCCCCAGAGTCCTTGGTTGGCCTCAGGTCGGGGCATCAGTTGGCAGTGGCCTGAGATTGCATCCACTGGAGCCCTGTGGGCAGCCTGCAGGGAGGATGGAAGAGGGCAAAGATCATTATATCCCATGAGGATGATGGCCTCCAAGCCCCCGGCCCCTACCCAGAGCTGATGGACTGGATGTAACAACCAAAGTTACATCCCATCTCTCAGTCGACAAATATAAACGTACTGGGCTAGGGGCTGGGGTGACTGGTGAAAACACAGACATGCCCTCTGGGGCTTACAGTCTAGCAGAGGAGATGGATGTGGGTTGGGGGAGGGAATGGCAGGAACACTACCAGAACTGTGTGGTTCCTTGGGCTGACCTGCCTGCAGTCTCCAGGCACCCGGGTCCCCAGCCTGCTGCGATCCCACTCGAGAGAGAGAAGAGGAAAGAGAATTTTCCAAGCCTGATGCATGCAAGGCCCTTTCTATGTGACCATGACTTAGCTACTTTCTCAGCGGTACCTCAGCAAAAATTGCAACATTTGCCCACATCCTTTCAATCTCCCTTTCCTACTTGATCTTTTTCGAGTGCTTGCCACTTTTTAACTTACTATAGATTTTTCTTAATTTTATTATTTATTGTCGGCTCCCTCCCACCGGAAAGTAAGCCCCATGAGGGCAGGGGTTTTTGTGTTTTGTTCACTGCTGTTTCTCTGGCACCTGGAAAAATGCCTGGCACAGAGTTGGTGCTCAATAAATGTTGAATGAATGATACCGTTTACTCTCTACAGAAACTCTGAGAGTCAGTATAATCGCCCTCCTCTTTACAGATGAGAAAACTCGAGGTCAGAAAGCCTCAGTGACTTCTGCCTGGAAGGCTTGGCCCCCATGTCTTCCCATGGCTGTTTCCTCCCCCTTCAGGTCTCAGCCCAAAGGTCACCTCCTAGTAGAGGTTGTCCCTGACCACCAGAGCTGAATCAGACCCAACCCTGCCCCATCTATCACTGTTAATTCAATTTCACTCTCTTCATGGCACTTCTCCAGTACCTGAAAGATTTGTGCTTAGATGGAGGGTCACCTCTCTCCCCACTAGAATACACCTCCTGAGAGCAGGCACTCTATCTCGCTCACCGCTTACCCACAACATCTCAGCTGTGGGTGGGTGCTTGACTGACTGAGCCCAGGAGCTAAGTGTGAGCCAGATTCTGACAGCAGAGAAACAGGAGAAGGTTCTGATGGTCAGCTGTTCGTTGGTTGGGCCAGACCGTGGAGGTCCAGGTGGGGCAGCCACTAACCCTTCCCCGGTGAGGGCACAGCAGCCATGGATGTGCCACGGGTGGTCTTTGATGGCGCTCAGAGTGAGGAACTGAGAGATCTCCACAGTGGTCATGGAGTTGTTCATAACCTGCTTGTTGGCAAAGATCAGGACATAAGCATCTCGAAGAGCCTGTGCACAGAGGAGCCTAGCCCCATTCAGCCAGCCAGGGCCTAGCCTCCCTTCCCCCTTCCCCCACCCCCGAGTCCTCCCTAGCTCCCCTGCTGTCCCAGGTGGGACCGGCGTGGGGCCACCACATCCGCGGACACCCACAGCTCGGGGAATGCCTGCCCACCAGCTCATATGCTCCTTATGACAGTGCTATGAGGCAGGAATTTGGTGATCCTCCCCCATTTTGTACTTGGGGAAACTGAGAGAAGTGAAGTGACTTGTCTGGAGGTCCCATGGTGAGTGAGAAGTGGGGTCACGACCTGGACCAGCAGCTCTGTCTTCTGAGATCAGTTGTGCGGAGGGCATTCTGGCCCTTCATCTGGGATAAACTAGCCCCGTCCAAACTGCTAGGGTAGCGGCTCTTAGACACCGGGGACTCAGAAACGAAGCTCAGAGAGGCTAAGTGAGTAGGCTGAGGTCCCACAGCTAGTACACCGGGCCCTCTCCCAACCTCAGGGGCCTTACCTCATGGGCCAGCATCTTTTTTTTTTAAACAGAGAGCATGAGAGGGAGGAGGGTCAGAGGGAGAAACAGACTCCCCGCTGAGCAGGGAGCCCGACGCGGGACTCGATTCCGGGACTCCAGGATCATGACCTGAGCCGAAGGCAGTCGCTCAACCAACTGAGCCACCCAGGCGCCCTGGGCCAGCATCTTATACAGCTCCTCCCGAGTGGTCGGCAGCCGGTCCCGGTCGGTGCTGTCAATCACAAGGATGATGAGCTGGCCAGCAGAGAGCAGCTGTGAGTGGTGGGCTTTCTCCTGCCCACTGTGCCCCCTCACCCGGCCTCGGCACCGCCCCGTGTAAGCCCCACAGAGCACGGGTCTGGTCTCAAGCTCTCACCGTCCTAGTCCCATTTTCATTCCCTTTTCCATCCAGACGGTGGGGGAACACAGCACGATTGTGTTCTGATTGTGTGCCAGAGGCGACGCCCCGGTCGTTCGTGACGGTGTTCAGGTCCCACCACAGCCCTGGGCGACTGGACTAGGCTTAGCGCCATTTACAAGCGAGATGGGTTCAGGTGAGATGGGTTCAGCGAGGCGACAGAACTTGCCCCAGGACACACGGCTGGTGAGTAGCAGTGCTGGAATTCGCCTTCGGTCTCACTCTGGGAAGCAAACCACCAAATCTTGCAAGAGTGAGAAAGGCCCCCAGAGACCGAGGGCCTACCCCATGCAGTGCATCACACAGAAAGCTGCCAGCCAACAGACAAAGCTGCCAAGAGGTATTCAAACATTTTTTAAAAACACTGTGCTGCATTAAGGATTTGAAATGTATGCGTTAACTGTTGTTTATTATGGGATTTTCACAACAATTCAGGGCAGTCGTTATTACAGTCTCCACCTCACAGAGTCAGGGAACCAAGGCTCAGAGAGGTTAAGTGACTGGCTCATGTCACACAGCAGCCTTCAGGGCCCCTCCAGCCCCAACACTGCTCACCTCGGGGTTGGAGCAATATGCATTCCAGGTAGAGCGCAGAGCCTCCAGTCCCCCTATGTCCCACACGAGGAAGTGTGTCTTTCGCAGAACGAGCTCCTCCACGTTGCTACCGATGGTGGGAGATGTGTGGACCACCTCATTCATCAGGCTGGGGAGGGAGCAGAGGGCACCAAGAGCTCAGCCCATTCTGCTCCCAGCTCTGGGCCCCTCACCCCTCGGCTCCCGAGTCAGGCTGAATCTAACTCAGAAAAACTCGGCCCAGGTTGGCCAAGCCTCTGGGCACAGGGGAATGCAGGCAGGAGTGGGACCAAGTCCTGCCCTGGCGGGGACCACAGAGACAGGAGTCATATTAGAGTCGTGTCCCCAGACTTTAATATGCAATTGAATCACCTGGGAGTCTTGTTAAAATGCAGATTCTAGTCCAGTGAGTCTAGGCTAGGGCCCAGTGTTCTGCATTTCCAAAAAGCTTCCAGATGATGGCAATGCTGCTGATGTGTAGACCACACTTTAAGCAGCAAGGGATTGGGAAAACGAGACAGATACAAGTGAAGACCATCAGAGAGGTGCTTTGTTTAACAGAGAGAACACACATTTTTTATATGTAGGGGGTGCCTCTGGAAGATCTGGGCAACAGGGGTGATTGAGAAACTTACTTTTCACTGTATGTGCTTGTAATGTTCGATGTACTCTTTTCTTCTGGTTTAAAATAAACATTTAGGGGTTGGCCGGTTAGCTCAGTTGGTTAGAGCGTGGTGCTAATAAAATAAACATTTAGGGCGCCTGGGTGGCTCCATCGTTAAGCGTCTGCCTTCGGCTCAGGTCATGATCCCAGCGTCCTGGGATCGAGTCCCACATCGGGCTCCCTGCTCTGCCGGAAGCCTGATTCTTCCTCTCCCACTCCCCCTGCTTATGTTCCTGCTCTCGCTATGTCTCTCTCTGTCAAATAAATAAATAAAATCTGTTTATAAATAAATAAATAAATAAATAAATAAACATTTACATATATTTCTTTTTCAGGGGAAAATTTTCCTACGTAAATACTCTGCAGGTTCCAAAGGGGGAGAGATGCCATCCAGAGAGTGGACATCGGGAGCTACAGAGCTCAGCCAGACTCAAAACTAGCCCTCCCCTTTGGGTGTGAAGAGGGAGGGAAAGTTAAGAGGCAAAGTTCGGGCGCAGGAGTTAGAAATGTGGAACCCGCCACTAGGGGGAGCGAAGAGCAGGGAGGCAGGAAGTCCGTTTCTGCCAGCCTCAGGCCTCCAACAGGGTCTGGTAGGGGCGGGGGTGGGAGGGGATGGCGGGGACCGTTGGGGTCGCCCATATCGGGCAGGATTCGAGTGCCAGGCGAGGGGGCCACAGAACTGAAGGGTCACTATGCCAGGAAGATCACAGAGCTTCCCCCCACCATCATTCCTCCTGGCTACTGGAAAACCCGGGAACCCAGGGAAGGGCTCCGGCGATTGGTCCAAAGGTCAGTCAGTCTGATGGGAAGACCCAACCCCCACCTCTTTCCATCAGAGAGTCACTTACAACTGGTAGAGAATGGTGGTCTTTCCGGCATTGTCCAGTCCCACGATGATAACCTTGTGCTCTGGAGGCATCCAGGGGAGAAGACAGGGTCAGGGCCAATCTCAATAACCAAGGGACTGAATGCTGCATCGGGCTTCCCAGGAAGGAGACGAGTGTTTCCAGCGAGCTGGGAGACCTCTGCCCACTGCACCACTTCTGCTCCCCTGCACCCCTCCCCGACAAAAACCCAACAGGGCAGGGCGCCTGGGTGGCTCAGTTGGTTAAGCGACTGCCTTCGGCTCAGGTCATGATCCTGGAGTCCCGGGATCGAGTCCCACATCGGGCTCCCTGCTCGGCGGGGAGCCTGCTTCTCCCTCTGGCCCTCCCCCCTCTCATGTGCTCTCTGTCTCTCTCATTCTCTCTGTCTCAAATAAATAAATAAAATCTTTAAAAAAAAAAAAAAAAACCAACAGGGCAGGGTTCCTCCCCCCACCCCAGACCCCGGACAGCCGCACCACTCCCGGACAGTGGAAATGATTGCTGAGCCCCGCCTCCCTCGCTCCACATTTCCAGAAAAGCGGTTGCCGGAAAGGTCCCGGTCGCCCTGGGCTTGCCAAGAGAAGGGGTCTGGAGAAGGGGCCACGATAGCAGGAAACCCGCGGCCGCTTTTAGCCAGGAGGACGGAGGCTCGCCGGGCCCTGCGCCCCGGGGTGCGCCGAAAGCGCGCCACCCGCGAGGAGCGGGTGGGGAGGGGCGGGGAGGGGCTGTGGGAGGGGGCAGGGGAGGCCGCGGAGCCTGCAAGGAGTGCCCACGCAGGACCTTCGGAGCCCGAGGTCCCCCAGCGCATCCGCCCGACCCCAGATCCGGGAGCCCCAGGTGGGACCGGATCAAAGCTGTCACTTGAATGCGCTATGCGCTCTTTACCCTGGTTCCCGAAGATGCCCATCAACTTGGCGATCAGTTGTCCCATGGCGCGTCCCAGGCCGGAGAGCGGCAAGACTCAGCGACCTTCGGGGGCCCGGGTCGAGCCAGGGTGCTTAGAACCCCGCCCCCCGGGGAGGGCCGAGCGAGTTTTGCCTATGAGGTCGCGGAAGCCCGAGGAGTCACCTGCGGGACCTGGGAATCCCCTGGGATGGGGGGCCCCTCGCAGGTGCTATGAATGTCACGACGACAGCGAACAGGCTACTTGTCTAGAGCCCTGGAGGTGCAAGGAAAGTGGGGTCCAGACTCCACATCCTCCCCTTTGCCTTTGCCCTGAGAAAACTCCAGAGGTTCTCTGGGTGAACTGCTCCCCCACTGCATCAAGGAGGCCCGGCACAGTGACCCACTACCAGGTCCCCGCTCTCCCTTCTCCAAGTGGCATGCCTGGGACGCTAGACTGAAGCAAAACCCTACCTTCTGCACCAGCCAGCTGTGTGGAGCAGGCGGCTCACTGATCCTCTCTGAGCTGGGAGAATATTCCAACCCTCAGCAGATCCCTACTGTTCTCACTAGTGTGGCTCTTGCAGGCCCACTCAAAGTGAGTTCCCTTAGGGAAGGGCAGGGTCTCCCTTCCTTTTGGAGGTCCCTTGGTGATAGGTAACTTCTAGGAATAAATCCGCACTGCTTCTATGATTCATTGGCAAACTGACTGCTCAGGCACAGCTCCCAGATCTGGGGGGATGGGCATCTGAAGATAAGGACGGAGCAAAAAGAGAGATCTCGCAGCCAGAGACCCTACAGAGGGGTACCAGATGCCAAGAGCCAGCAGAAGAGAACCTGGGCCAAGAGAGAGCCAGGCTGGAGGAGGGAGAGGGAGGAGGGGACTCTTTGTTGTGAATTTCCTTCTTTGCTTAAACTGGGAAAAAACAGAAAACAAAAAGAGAAGTGGGAAGGCAAACCAACCTCAGGCTGAGGGGGCGGTTAGGAGAAGCCAGTTATCACACAGGAGAATCAACTCCTTCTGCCCCCGACTGCCAAGGCCCTCCTATAGCCCATTAGTGCTCCCCTCCACCAAGGGAACAAATTTTACTCGTCTCCCTGCCTCTGCCTCCCCCCGATTCAGCACAGCCCTATTGACCTTCGTAAAGCACAGCTCAGAGTCCGTCACTCCACAGCTCATAAACCTTCAATGATTCCCTATTGCCCACTGGTTCAAATCAGCCACCTCACCTGACATTCAAGAGCCTCCGTGAACAGCCCCCACCTGCCTTTGCAGGTGATCTCCCACCTTCTGCATCCACTGGTCCTTGCCCACACATGCCCAGCTCCTTCCAACCATGCTTTTGCTTCTGTGTTTCCTCCACCTGAATGTCTTTCACCTTCTCAGAAAGGTGGATTCCTGAAAGCCTTTAGCTGCCTGCCATAAAAGCCACCTACTTCTCAAGCCCTGGCCTGGTTCTCCAGACAAATGGGGCTTCTCTCTACTCTGAGATTGGACACTGGCCTGTTTCCACCAATCAGCTGTGAGGCCTGAAGTGTGGGGTTCGGGTCTTGTTCACTTGTGTTCTCCCCGCACTCCCAGCCTGGTCCAGTGCCTGGCACACAGTAGGACCGTGTTGCTATTGGAGTGAAGTACAATGAGTTATGCTAGAGCCTGGTGTTTCGAGCATTAAAGAAGTGTGAGCACAAGTTGAAGAGGAATGAAGAAGGCTCGGAAGTGTATGGAGAGCAGAGGGAAAACAGTTGGCTAAATAAGGAATTATCCCACCCGCCTTGGTGCCTGGAGTTAGAGCGAAGGAGAATTGACTACCAGAGCCCATTTCAGCCCCAGGAAAGAAGGAGAGCTGGGTGCGATAGGGTGGGGGTGCAGAGGGGGCTGGGGGAAGCAGTAATATTTTAAGCACCTTTACCATCTCTTTCAGGGGGGAGGGAACCCCTTAGTGCATCCTGCCCCCTCCCCCAACTACCACCACCAGTTGCAGACTTGAAAGTGATACTCTGCTGGCTGGAGCACAGTCAGTAAACAGACAAGAGCTGCCTTGGCTGCCAGGCCTAGAGCCTGGGTCTTGGGGGGCATTCATTCCTTTATTTGACAAATATGAGTCAGGAGTTAGGAAACAGGCCAAGTAGACAAAACAGACCCGGTCTGGGTCTTTTGGAGCCTTTACCGTCTAGTGGGAGAGAGAAATATACACATCAAAAAATAAAACCAAAACAAAGCCCTGAGAGACAGTAGGTAAGAAGGCACACTTTTCTGAGGATGTGATTATTGGCGCTCAGACAAGATTTTTCTTTAGGGTACCAGCTGGAACACCCATTGCTCCCGGGCCGTGGAGGGAGCTCAGCTTCCTTGATTTTTTGGAAGGTGGAAACCTTCAGCCACACCCAGGACTGAGGCCTCTCTGACCTCAGCTCAGAAGCTGGACAGAAGCTACTGGTCAGGGAAGGAGACGAGGGGTTCCCGATAGGAGGGGTCCCCAGCGCCTCAGTTCTCAACTCCCTGAGGTGGTGGTAGCACCAGCCTCTGGAGACCTAATCCCAGCTGACTTGACAGTTGTTGAAATCCTCACATGCTGACAACCACCAACGTGCTGAATGTACATCAGTTGAGGGCTGTGGTTACCAAAAGATAAGAATCTTTCTTCATCTCTCAACACCTCTAAACCACCTAGAAATGCCCCCACCTGCAAGTTCCGGGCAAATGCAATTTCAGGCAGAAGGCACATGAAGAGGAGACAAATGTATTCAGACACCTGCTTCTTCCTCCCCAGCCCTCCTCCCCTTGCAGAAGCCGGAGCAGGGGGATGGGCATGAGACTTGGAGTTCACAGGCACCACACAGAACTTGAACTCCAAAGATCTGAGTTCAAGTCCTTGCTCCGTAGCTGTGTAACTATGGACGTTGCTTAGCCTCACGGAGCTTTATCTGTAAACTGAAGTTAGTAATCCCTGCCCTTGATTCAAAAGATGGGGCTCCACCCCCCAGATGGAGCTCTCTGCAGTTCCCCGATTCTCCAGACTAAGCACCCAGCTGTCTTCTGTTCTTCTCTTGGGTGTCCTTCCACAGGCACCATAAACCCACGTTGTCCAAAGCTAGACATTGTTTCTGATCCTGACCTGGTTTTTCCACCTGCTTCCTCTATGTCTGGGAAGACCATCACCCATAGTCGCCCCCAGACGCCTCCCTGTCTCTCACTGGCCACCTCCAATTGCTCTCCACGAGCTCTGGATTCTAACTGCTAGATGTTTCTGGCAGCCATTGCCTCCTTTCCCATCCCCCTGCTATGGCCCAGTGCAGCCCACCCTTGTTTCTTCTTTTTTTTTTAATTATGTTATGTTAATCACCATACATTACATCATTAGTTTTTGATAGTGTTCCATTCACCCTTGTTTCTTACCCAGAGTACTGCAGCTGTGTCCAAGCTAGGCACCAATCTATGCTCCAAACCGCAACCAAGGCAACTTTGTCATTGCTGCTCACAATCCTTCAATTTCTGCACAGCAGCTTCAGGACAAAGCCCAGACTCCTTCACATGACTCAAGGTCCACCGTGATCTGCTCCTGCCGGCCCTTCTCTGACCACCCCCTTGAGCACACTTTGCTGGTGAAGTACCAGGAACATGCCATGCATGTTACCTGCTTCCCCTGTCTTGAACACTTCCCCCCCTGCCCACCCAGGTTAACTCCTAACCAGCCTTCTAGACTTCACTCAAGCCTCACCTCCTCTGAGAAGCCTCTCCTGACCTCCCCAGGCTAAGGGAATCACCCTTCTACCAGGTTCCTGGAGAACCCAGTGCTTCTCCCAGCAGAGAGCTCACCGTGCTGTCCTGAATTGTCTGTGGCTCCCTTTTAGACTTGTGCCTGGTACATGGTAGGTGCTCAGTAAATGTCCAATGAGTAAACACAGGAATAAAGGATTGATTCCATTGAAAGGCAGTGGGGTCAGAGCGCTAGGCTGGGAGGCAGAGACTGGACTCCAACCCCAGCAGTCTTTGCCGTCAACTCCCTGGGACCTTGGGCCAGCTACCTGACCTGCGGACCTGCCCAGTTCCTTTCCTGGGGTCTGCTAACCCCTCACCTGGAAGGTCTAGATGTCTGCTGCCCTACACACACCCCCCCCCACACACACTTTGGGCAGAAACATTCAGGTAAGGGACCCAGGAGCTCTAGTCCTCCAGGTCCACCACCCCAGAAACAAGAACCAGGAGAGTGGCGACATGGTTTGTGAGTGCCACGTGAGGCAGGATACGGGTGCCAGGCACGACAAGTCTGGGGTCCACATCCTGCCAGCTGGGGATGACGGAACTGACATAATCCCCTGCCAACTCTCTCTCGATGTTCTCGGCTGGGGCTGGTGGAGCCCCCATTCTCTGCCCCCGCCCAGTAGACCTCTTCCATCTCCCAAAGATGGTTAG